TATATATATATATATATATATATATATATATATATATATATATATAAGGCACTGTTTTTGTATGGCAACCCAGTGACAAGGATGCCTGCAGCGCCAGCACAACGTTAAGACATCACACACGCTGTTGAGTTTAGATTTGTGAAAATTTGCAAATTTGCATTGTTCGAGTGTGGTCATTGCATTAGAGAGAGTAAATGTCATGAATACGTTTGACCTTAAACATAATCCAAGTTGAAGTGTTACATAATTTTCAGCCCCCTTTTAGGTATCTGCATTTAGCAGGCCAAACTGACAAAGATTATGCAGAATAATGTAGTATTTTAATTCCACAGAAGAAAAATCTATGTAGTCTCTGTAAGGAAGTCTAGGGAAAAAAAAAATCGGTATTGGTATCGGTTATCGCCCAGATCAGTTTTAACATATCGGCATATCGGATATCGGCCAAAAATCAATTATCGTGCATCCCTACTTCAACTTATTAACCTATTGTGGATGTAGATCCAATGAACACTTTCTACAAAGTGTGGCTGCTGTGAGCATGTCTGACCATTCACCTGATCACCACCTTTCACACAACTAATTAATCAGCTCATCGAGCTACAGTTTACAGTCCCGGCTACACTCAGCTCATCACCAAATTAATTGTTTATCACTAACTGGAGCCTGAATGTCTCACCATCTCCACTTCACTCTATCTTTCTCGTATTGGGTTTCTTGCCCTGAGCTAATTTCTGTTTTCCCTCTCTGCCTTCCAGGAACCTTAGCTTGTCTGCCACTCGCTCACTTCCTGACATTCTGGTATAATCACTCTGCTCCGTTTGTTACTCACCTGAAATACAGCGTATCCCCTGTTTCACCTGGCCTAATCTCTGTCTGCATTTTGATCATTTCCAGTACCTATACCGAGGAGAACTTTAAAGGTCTGAATAAGAATATAAATTCAGACTGAACTCTTAGTAAAGTTTCACACTGTTCACAATCTGTGTACAAAGTCAAGCTGAAGGAGGGGTGGATGGCTGACTGCACCTCTTTAAACATGCAACCAAAGTTCTGCAAGAACCCAATGAAAATGCTGTGGAATGTTGATTAAAACTGATACTGCATTTGTTTTGATTCATATTCCATTTTTTTTTCTCTCCAAATTTGTGGAAATTGTTAGATTAAGTTAGATGAGGCAAGTATTATGGACTAATTTGATTAACTTTTCAAGTCATACTCTGAGTTAATGATGCTCATAAACTATACACTGTCCAAACCTCTTCAGAGTGTCTCTTTACAAGGAGCACATGCTGTCCCAAATTTTCTTTGCAGCTGTGGAACTATTTCACTATTTTGAGGAAGTTAAAAAGAATAGGCGGACACTTTAAGGGGTTAAATAAAAACTTAAATACATATACAGCACCATACTGGTATCCTATTTTGTAAAACACTAAACATTACAATGAGTAACAATACTGACTCATTTTGAACAGTTGTGGCTTTTGGTTGTCTCATCTACATTAGGTATGTAAAAGAAATGGTCGTGGACTTAACCCCCCCACCCCCGAACATAGGAGGATATGTGGTGGAAGTGGTCTCCAGCTACAAGTACTTGGGTGTGCACCTGAATGACAACCTCAGCTGGAGCAACAACAACAACAGCCTGATCAAGAAAGCTCATTAGAGACTCTAATTCCTCAGGTAGCTGAGGCGAGCTGGTCTGTGAAACTCAGTCCTCACCTCCTTCTACAGGTGTGCAGTGGAGAGCATCCTGTGCTCGAGCATCAATGTGTGGCATGGAGGCTGCACAGCTGCAGAAAGAAAAGATTTGCAGAGAGTGGTGAAGGCTGCACAGAAGTCTGTTGGAGTCAGCCAATCACAGACATCTACACCTCTAGATGCAGGAAAAGGACCACCTGCATCATGAAGGACCCCACTCACCCAGCACACACTTTTTGCACTGCTCCCGAGGAGCATTAAGTGTAGAACCACTAGACTGAGGAACAGCTTCTACCCTGAGGCTGTTAGATTCGTGAATCTCTAACCAGAATAATCACTGTGAAAAATCACATCATGTTGCTGCTGATCTGTTTCATATTGCTGCTGATCTGTTTCATGTGGCTGCTGATCTGTTTCATGTTGCTGTGTTCATTCGTACTCAACTGCTCACACAGACTCATGTTTGTGCTGCTGTTCGGCATATTGATTTTATGCTATCAGTGCTTAGCGTATTTTTAGTTAATATTTTTCTTAGTTCATATTTTAGATTTTATTACAGCTTTTCTTTTACATCTTATTGTTGGATGTAACTGGGACCCTGTGTACACAGTTTCGTTCCACTAAATGTACCACATGTGGTGCAACTCTGACTCTGACACAACTCATCTACTGAATCTTTTCTCATTTACATCAAATGTTTTGAATACATTCAAGAGGTCGAGTGGCAACATATATTCCCACACTGAAAATTCAACCCCCCCCCCCCCAAAAAAAAAATAAAATAAAAGGGCGATTGTATTTGTCCCCTTGATATTACAATTGATACTGCAAAAGGATAACAACCATGAATAAATTTGACTGACTGGTGTCAAAGGTGGTGTCTAAGTAAGATCTCAGAATGTGTGCTAATGCAGAGATGCAGCAACGATACCGGCCTTTCCTCTACTCAAGCAATCCCAACGGGTAGAGTATGTGATTGCCAGGAAACCGCTCTCTCGCTCTATCTTTCTCTCCCCGCCCCTATGCTCATCATCCCTCACAATTCCTGCCACAGCGCCTCAAATCTTATCAAACACCAGTCTGCCAGACTGTGAGAAATGGAATCCATCAGCGAGCTGCTAGGGGTGATCCACATTTCCCTAATCTGGACTGCCCCGACTCCCTTTAAAATGGATTAAAGCTCTCTTTTACAGAAAAGCAGGCCTTAAAGGAGATTCTCCATACTGGACACGCCTGTAAACTGATACTCAGTAGCTCTCCCAACATTTTTGTCCAATCTGTACCGTATGTTGCTGGATTTTCAAATGATTTATTCACTGCAGAAATAAAACAATATATGATTGCAGCACTTTAGACTCAAGAGAGTTTATTTTATGGAAAAAGACATTCAAGAGAATTGATTTATAATGCAGGAAGTGGTCATCATTTTGTTCTAAGGAGCACAAGGCTTTCAATTTCAAAGAGGAAGCACTGTATGTAAAAGAGCAAGCACCCCTGTAAATTGGAAACACGGATTTTGATGTAGTGTGATTGCTATGTTCTCTCACCTATTATTTCCTGGCAGAAGTGAAGGGTCCTTAATATTGCAAGCCGAATGCTGGAAACAAAGCTGAATTATGAAATATGTGTGAACTATCAAAAGCCCCCTTCAGTAGCAAATGGAGAATGGTCTTCATCCAATCTTTTCTTTTATGACTCGCAGCAAACTCGTTCATTTTCAGAATTGTATGATGGGAATAGCCTATGAGACTATCAGTGGAGTCAAACAACCTTTAGAGTCAATCCCACATCTAATTGGAGCATCGAGAACCAGAGATGCTGCTGGAGATTGTTCTGTTAATTCAGTCACACTCCCTTATGGAAACATGATTTTAAAGGGAAGTTCAGATCTTTTTTTTACAAGAGGGGTCCTAAATAAATAGTTTAAGAGTTAATATTTTACCTGTTGCAGATCGATTTTATTCTTATTTTTATAAAATCACTTTGGAAAAACAGTTTGGTTCACCATTTTATCATTATTCCAGCATAAATATTACAACACTTTTACTAGAAGCAGCAGAAATGCTGCTGCCACTATTAGTACTTGCCAATAACTACATAATTCTATGTAACATATTTTTTGGCCTATAAGTCGCAGGGTTGTTGTTTTTTTGTTGTTGCATAATTTACATACCCTGCGACTTATACACCTAAGTGACTTATTTATGTTTTTTCTCCATGAGATATGACCATTTTCATTCATTCTGACATTGAAAATATTGAACACTACCATTTTCAGCCGCTAGATGGCACTCGAGTAGTATGGCATGCCGTTGTGTCATGTAATGGGTAAAAGTGGCTATTAATGCAACAATCGGCTTGCCATATCTTGCCACCTTTGTCCAGCTCCAGGATCATGCCTGGAGAAACCATCAAATAATCTTCATTTCGCTGTGCCGCTCCGGCGAAATGCAGTTAATTTGACTAATGAAGTGGATTTATTAAGTAAAAGTTCAACTGAGACGCACCTTTGCTATAATGTCGAGCAAACAAATAATTATTTTAGGTGCTAATCTTGTTAAATTTTCAAGAAATGCGCAGCGTTCCTCCTTCCTGATTTCTTCCTTCTGCGTGCTCCCAGAGCACCGAGGCAACGAATACTTTGAAATGCACAGCAAGTCCTCCCTCTGTGCACTCCTGCTTTCACGTATCGGCTTTTGAAATGCAGCTGATTTGACCATTAAAGTGCATTTATTAAGTAAAAGTTAAACTGAGACACACCTTTGGTATAATTTCGCGCAAACAAATAATTGTTAATCTTGTTAAATTCTTGTTAAAGTCTTCCTGTGCACGCTCCCGTGGCTGCCATTTGGCAGCCAATTGATTTTTGGCACAACACCGGCTCACATTTCCGGGTTGTCAGCAGTGACACATAATTGATGCAACTTATACGGCAAAGCAACATATTTATGTTTTTTTCACTCTATTTGATATAATTGGACTGATGCGACTTATAAGGCGGTGCGACGTGTACGGTGGAAAATACGGTAAATACATGCATGTTGAAACATTGATCTAAAACTTAAAAATATTGTATGTGAGATTTGAAATGTAAGCTTTTGAGCTTGGAGGTGTTTTAAAGACGGCAGCAATCCATTTTTTTTTTTGTTTGTTTTATCCAGACAGATTAACTGTTAGCTTGTCTGTCGAGTCAGATTTAAAATCAATTTCTTCAAACTCGGGTCCATCAAAAAGCTATTCACAACATGTAAGATAGTGATTGTTTATGAGAACAATGAACAATATCATTTTAAGGTTATCAATCAAAGCGAGCTACTAAATAAAAACAGAAGCAAAATCTGAAGAAGAATTTGATTTTCAATGAATTAAAAAAAAAAACTCTGGAGAAACTACAATTCCCAAGACTAAACACAGAGCAGCAGCTTCAGTTTTATGGCCTGCCATCCAACCCATCTACTCTGTACATGGAGTATGTTGCAGCAAGCTACAATTTTGAACACAAGAAAGCATTTGTATCTGTGGGGAACAATAATCTTCCCATGCAGTCATAGTATCTATCACGCTTTAGGATATAATCAATACCAGGAAATCTTAGAGAAAGGCTGCTGCAAAGATGTGAAACAATCAAAGACGAAACCTCAAACTTAAAAAACACAATAAACTTGCCATTTGTTACATCAAGCTCAAAATGATGTAAATAAAATAACCCCGGAAGAACAAACCCTCCATTGCATTTATACAATGTACTGATTTTACGTTCTTTATATAACTGAGAACAGACAAAACAAATATTTCTAAATTATCTTTAAGATCAATTATGAACTTTGTGAGTAATCTCAATCTTATGTTGTAGCTGCCTTGACTGAATCTGAGAATCATTCAAACATAAATCTGTTTTCCCAGAATAACAGTGACAGAAGTTCAGCATGGACGCTGGTTTGCCCTCACATTTATACAATATGTGCACTTTCGAGCACGTTAAGTGGATATACGATACTGACGTGCACACACACACAGAAACTCACACACATCCAGATAGTGAGGCTGGAAGGAGGAGAGGATTAACATCCATTAATGCACAGCAGATGGGCGTTAATCCTCTTCTTTCTCATTGTGATTATTGCTTCTTGCAAGAATGCATTCTTCCTCTCCTTCCTCTTTCCGATCCCTCCTGCACCTTTTAACCTCCCAAAATAACTTCCCCAAATGCAGGTCAGGAGTTGCACAAAAATAATCTGTATTTACAAATCCGCAGACAGCAGTCACCTAAATTCCCTCCCTGTGACAAAAAGTGGACAAGACCCCCCCACAGTCAGGGGCTGCTGTGAATAAAGGTGGAACTCTGTTATACCAGCGGTAAACCAGTGCTAAAAAAAAAAAATACAGTTAGCCAGTAAGCCATGTGAGGATCAGGCCTTTTCCATTACACAAATCTGAGTCTTTATTATTAATAAAAGAAGCACAATCCAAGCATTCATTCATAGCAAAATTAGTGTTTATATTTTCCACAACACTGACACATTTATTGTCTGGTCCACTCAACATGAATCTTTATCTATTAACACACATTTACAACCCTGTTTTGTTGAAAAAAATAATAATAATTAAAAAAACTACCGGTAATCTAATGTTGTGTAACATTTAATTGAATGCAGAATGCAATAATTGTCATACAACAGTAAGTCCACAGTTTAAATTTAAAAAAGAGCATCTTTCCTTCTAATATCACAAACTGTGGAGGTTGGCGTGCTTTTCTCACCAGATTGTTGACGCTACTCAGTGTGTGATTGGCGTTGTAGAGCGAGTAGGTCAGCTGGTAGACCCCATCGTTGGTCTGGCTGTTCCCATAGAAACCCACTCCTACAGCAGAACTGTCAAGAAAAACAACAATCCAGAAGAAAAACAACAACAACACATTAACAGATTGTTGTGTTTTCTTATATCATTGCTCACAAGGAGTGCACAGGGTTATTAAAGGGCAAACATGTGAAACAACAGTATGAGAATACAGTAATTTCATTTCCGGCGTAAACAAATAGTTGAGTTTGAACTATATATTTTATTTTTTACAACAAATTTCAAAAGAAGGATGCAAAGCTGAAGCAAATGGCCTCCATATTCTTCACATAAGATCTCTCCATCTACTCATAATAACTAGGGATGCACAATATTAGATTTTTGTCCGATATTCCGATATTCTGATATGTTAAAACTTATTTGGCCAATAACCAATACAAATACCTTTTTTTTTCACCTGGACCTACTTGCAGAGACTACATAGCTTTTTTCAAGGATTGAAGGTTCTTTATTGTCGTTCACACCACGTGTGGTACATGAGGTGGAACGAAATTTTGTACACAGGGTCCCAGTTACATCCAACAAAAGTATAAAATGTAAAACCATAATAAGATCTAAGATATGAACTAAGAAAAACATTAACTTCAAATACGTTAAGCACTAGTAATATAAAAACAATACACCGAACATCAGCACGAACATGAGTCTGTGTGAGCAGATGAGTATGAATGAACACAGTAACATGAAACAGATCAGCAGCATCATGATGTGATTTTTCACAGTGATTATTCTGGTTAGAGATTCATGAGTCTAAGAGCCTCAGGGTAGAAGCTGTTCCTCAGTCTAGTGGTTCTACATTTAATGCTCCTCAACCTCCTGCCTGAGGGGAGCGGGGCAAAAAGTGTGTGTGCTGTTGTGCTGTTCTCTGTTGTGGAATTAAAATACCACATTATTCTGCTAGGTCTTTGCCAATTTGGTCTGTAACCAAATGCAGACACCAAAAAGGGGGCTGAAAATTATGTAATACTTCAAGTTGGATTATATTTAATGTAGAATTTATTCATGATATGTACTCTCTCTAACACAATGACAACACTCGAACAGTGCAAATTGTCACAAATCTAAACTCAACAGAGCGCGTGATGTCATAACGTTGTGCTGGCGCTGTAGGCTCTTGTATATATATATATATATATATATATATATATATATATATATATATATAATATTTAAACTTTACCACTAATATCAGCCGATGCCAATAACATGCTGATAATATTGTGCATTCCAAATAATAACAATTGAGAAATTCTGAAATTAAAAGCAACAATTAAGGACTTCAGAATATGTCATCTTTAATGACTCAGAAACACACATGCATTGCTGTGTGTAATTTACTACTTTGCTGTTGCTGTTGTTGTTGTTTTGCATGGATCTCTCACAAAAACATGTAGTAAATCATTGATTTCAGCTCCACTTTTGCTTTCATTTCAGTTAATTTGATGTGCTAAGTGCCAGAGGGCATAACAATCATGCAAACCATGGCAATAAGACAGAAAAAGAAAACAACGAGTTGTTTGCAGTAATAGAAAATGTCATGTTCAACAAGTGTGCATGTATCCTGTGCAGCCATTTGAACATTTCAGGAGATGTTTTTTAATGTGCTGCATAATTTAGGTTGCTAGTCCACCAGGCGTAAACTTGAAGTTTATCCTTCACCTGTTCAGATAGGAAGGGAAAAAAAAAAAAAAAACCTGAATTCAGTTTTATCTTATACTTTTCAAAACATCTATCGTAACTTTCGTTAAAATATGCTCCATTGAAATATTTCATATGAAATCGATGTTCTCTCAGAGAACTGCTTTGGCAAACTTGCTCTGTTTTTGTATTCATATGCTACATTTAGAGTTTAACTATCATTTTTGCCACGTTTACTTTTAGTTGTGTTCTGCCAATTTTAGCATTTAGCTACAGATTTGCTACTTTTATCCTTAAGCCACCCTTTTGCAAAGTGTTGCTTTTAGCTTTATAGATTTTCAAATTTTGTTATTTTAGATTTTCAATACTGGTTTGCAGATTTTTATGTTTTGATTGTTTTGACTTGAATAATTCACTTTTAGCTTCAACTAATTTCAGCAAAGTCATTTAGCACTCAACATTCACAGAGAAAATATCAAATCTCTAGTTGGACTTAAGTTTATGTATTTGCTCTAACAGATGAAATGACTAGTTTTAATAAAAGATTAACTGAATGTGCATTTGACTAGTGTGGAATAATAAAAAAAAACAGCTTCACTTTGTTCTTGTTTTCATTTTTTTGCTTCGAAATTCAAATGACTTTCTATCTTTTATTCTCTTTTGTGTTTGGAGGTCACTCCAGGTGTGATTGGATGTTTAAAGCTCTGCTGTCTTCATTTTTCATAGATATAATAATGAAAAAAAAACCTTGTCCAATTCTTTTTCCCCCCTCTAAATCAGTTCTCTCTGGTTAGGATGAGGAGCACAGCTTATCATGTTTAATCAAATCTCAAAGGGAAAAAAAATCACAGCAGTCCAGAGCAAAAATCCAGCTGCAAGGATGTGATTCTAAAATGACTTAATTCAGTTTTATGAAGAAATCCAACATTCATGCTTGATGTTTTTCAAAGCGTCTGTATTGAAGCTGATCTGTGTTGCCCTTCACAATGAGCTTCTTATTAACCCTCCTGCCAAAATGACACATCAGCAACAATGAAGACCAGCTAATGGTGCAGTAATGAAACAGTAATGAGACAGAACATCACGGGGAGGTTTAGCCTCAATGGAAACATTAGAAACTTTGTGGCTGAGCAAAACACTCCCTGTAGCCTGAAGTTATTAAAAATAGGAGGAAAAAACACCAACATGAGCTTAGAAAAGTGTTCACTTGAGATAAAAATGTCTCCTATTGCCATGACAGTGCTCAAAACAGCAACAAAAAGTTCAATTGAATAAAAGGGGCTTTTTTTTTCTTTTTAAACACTAGCTTTATTTACTAAATTCAATTTAGCACAATCATGATCCTGATCCATTCAGATGGGAGCAGAAGCTCGTAAATCCATTATCTGTTTGAGCCGCAAATCTAATTAACTCTTCTAACTAAAAAAGTCCTCAAAGTGAATGACACACCCCCCCAAATCTTTCTTACAACAACTGAAAGAACAGGGACATATAGTCCCAGGACAGATCAAATGCTCAGCGGTCGCCCTGAGCTGCCCTTTTTCAAACACGTTCCAAAGCTCTCTGTTTCGTCAAGTCCCAGCGGGTTAAAACTGAGAACAGACTCGCTTCCTGATGATCCTGCAACTCAAAACGTCCATTAACTCGAGTGAGCTGTCACGTAAATTGACTAACTTGACCATTTCAAACCACACACACACAAAACTGTTAACAACAAGATCTGTTTGATGTGAAGAAAATGGGGCACGTCTGGTGAACAGAATGCAGATCACAAGAAAGCTCCTAATTTATCTACTTTGAAATGTTCTGCCAATTTATTATCCCAAAAAGAAACCTTTTCAAACTCCACTTTTGAATTGGATTAGAGTGTTTTTGGAAACAAATGCAGGGGATCCTTGCAAGCTTAACATTCAGATTTTCTTTATCTTTATCACAAAATTGTTCAAATGTAATTAGGCTTGGTTAATTAGAGGTCAGTGTACAGCGAATAGTTATATTAATCAGATGACGTTCGGAGCCGTGTTTCATCCAAACATGCAGGGAATGGTGGACTGTTGGTCAAATAACTTTATTTCTTCAAGGTTCTTGCTCGATAATCCAGGTAAAGAATCCAACAATGTTCAGTCAAGTCATCTGGACAGTTTCTTTTTTTTTTTTGGTTGAGAGACGTTTCATCCTTCATCCAAAGGACTTCATCAATCTGAGGAGCCACTAGGGGTTGAACGAGTATATAATTTTAAAACTCGACATTAACATAATAAAACCCGAGTAGAACTCGAGTATTTGATGACGTCATAGATCTCAAGATACAAAAATAAATAAATAAATAAAACCGCAAAAAAGGGTAATTATTTACAAAAAAAAAAAAGACCAACAAAACATTGGGAGCATATATTATGCTCCTACCATTTATCATACTGCAAATAAGTCACAGGAAAAACTAAACTATTAGTTATTATTATTAAACTGCAAACGTGAAGAAACATGACCACCCCGCACCACCGCCAGCTGTGGTGCGCATTAAGTTTAGTTTTAGAGATGAATATGTTTAAAGATTTTTTTAAATAGGTTTAGAGATTAATATTTTTTGCTTTATGTTTGTGAAACAAGGTCAGAGGAAGCTGGTTCTGGTTTGGTGGATTGGACCTGGTGTTACACCATACTCTGTGACCTGCAACAGTGCAACACCGCCCCCTATGGTCATACGGTGGTCACATAATATGACGTCACTACGGATACTCGACGTTACATTTTTAACCTCGATAGATGCCCTAGCAATCAATGTGTAGATTACTCGAGTACTCTAATGCCCTAGGAGCCACAAACAAACTGTTTCCTCACAAGCAGCACACTCCTACAGTGGACCAACTAGTTTTCTGGTGATAAAATGGTTTCTGGGGGCTGCCCTCTCCCTCCGTCAACTCCACCCAGGCAGCCACAGCCAGGGCTTAATTTGAGCAGGATCCTGCTGGAACAAGATCCGGGAACTCTTTCATTTAGACCGGGCGCGTTCCAGCAACTGTTTGCTTGGATCCGGCAACTCAAATATCCGCCCCTAAAAGTCCAAAGTTATCACACTTTTTTTTTTTTGGATTATTTATTAAAAATACAACGGGAGGAGACGTTGCCAGTCTATGGAGTGGATGTTCCAGCCACACTACAAGCACCAGCTCGCGCACATGCTCCTGCCCAGCAGAGATGCGGATCGCATGTCCCGGGGGGATGAGCGTCTTCATCCACCTTCAGATGCGCCCTGCAAACAGTGCACGTTTTACGCACAGGAGCATCTCCAGACAGCTCTACAGTCCGCACGCACAACTGCTGATTTGTCCGAACTCCTGTATACATTTCACATATAATAAATAAAAAAGCTTACAGTAAAAATTAAAAAATAAATTAGTGAAATGTTTGATGTTTTATTCACATTATTCATTCATTCAACCTTTATTTCATTACATCACGCTTCAAAACAACAGCACTAATTTGTCAAAATACCAGCGATTAAAAAGTTGAAAAGACAATTTTATTTTGTAAAATAAATGGATGGATTGTCCTTAGCTAGATAACCGAGAATTGAAGCACCTGAAGGCAGTGGTAATCGAGACTGGAGCAGGAGGAGCAATAACGCACAGGACTGAACTCAGCTGAGAAGAGTTCAGGTCGGACAGTGAAGTGTGTGTGTGAGGGGGGAGGACGCTTGACACAATCGGAGATGCTCTATTCACACACAGGCTTGTTGTTGTTGTTCTCCAAAATAGTAATTTCAATTCAACCTTTATTTATACAAGTTGTTAGTCTCATTCTGCCTGGAGGACTCATTTACAAGAGAGACCCGTTTTTAATCAATTTAATCAAATGTTTACAGATGTTTAACAACCCCTTAAAATAAACCAAAATGCAGGAAATAGCATCTCTTTTATTCCAAACTTTCTGGAGGAGGACCCACCCATGTCGGACTGCTTGCTGTTTGTGTTCCGGCATCAATTGGTTTACAAATTAAGCCCTGGCTAAAGCCAAAGTGGTTCAAAACATCTACAAACGAAGCATTTGTTTGTGGCTCCTCAGACTGATGAAGTCCTTTGGATGAAGGACGAAACGTCTCTCAACAATAAAAAAAAAAAAAGAAAACTGTCCAGATGACCTGACTGAACTTTGTTGAACTTAATTTCTGTTTCGTTAGATAAAGGTAATGACAATGACTCAGCTCTGAAGCAGGAGTCATAATGAACACTGGATGATAATCATATTGTGTGACCACAGCTCGTTTTAAGTTTTATTACGATGAAATCAACTTCACCTTTTGACATGGTCTCTGCTCCCCGAACCCTTTCTCTGTCTGCTCTTACTGGAAATGTTCTCGACCTCGAGGTTTGTTTTTCCACTCTGACGCTCCGATATTCCATCAGCTGTAAGACTTTACGTAGAAAGGTGTGCACCCACTTAATTATGTCTAATAAATTCCATTAGGCGGGAGAGGATTCTAGTCAATTAGAAGATCTCAAGGACATCAGTTAATGAGCTGGATGTTGACGTCATAACAAAGGGGTAAATCCATTTAGAAGGATTCACATAATATAAGTGTCAGAGGAAACTTTACACAGTAAGATGAAGAAAAAAACCTTATGCGACAGCATCATAGCATTACAGCGGAGCTTGTGTCGGGGTAGGTGCTACCTATGAATAAAAGCAGCTAATAAAGTTAAAGTCAAACACTGTCACAAGTTTAATTAAATCCGTGCACAAATTCAGTTATTTTGCCAAAGACTAAGTTGATCTTTTTCATTTGAGGACATTTTTTTTATTACATTGTATACATAAGTGGTCCTGTTGGCGTCATTGTGGCATGATCTTCAGCTCTCACTGGAGCGGTATGCAGCCGAAGGTGAAGAGGCTGAGATGAGAATCAGCACCTCCAAATTTGAGGCTATGGTTCTCAACCTGAAAAGGGTAGATTGCTCTCTTCAGATCGAGGGTGGGGTTCTGCTTCAAGTGGAGGAGTTCAAGTATCTCGGGGATTTGTTCACAAGTGAGGGAAAAATGAATCGTAAGATTGGCAGACAGATTGGTGCAGCATCTGCAGTATTGCGGACTCTGTACCGGTTTGTTGTGGTGAAGAGGGAGCTGAGCTGTAATTCAAAGCTCTCTGTTTACCGGTCAGTCTACATTCCTACCCTCACCTATGGCCACAAACTCTGGGTAGTGACAGAAAGAATGAGATCACAGATACAGGCGGTTGAAATGAGTTTCCTGTGCAGGGTAGCTGGACACTCCCTTAGAGATAGGGTGACAAGTTCAGTTATCCAAGAGAAAATTGGAGTAGAACAACTGCTCCTCCACATCAAAAGGATCCAGTTGAGGTGGTTCGGACATCCGATAAGGATGCCCCGCTGTGCGATTCCCTAGGGAGGTGCTTCGAGCATGTCCGACAGGGAGGATATCCCGAGGAAGACCCAGGATACGCTGGGGAGACTATGTCTCTGGGCTGGCCTGGGAACGTCTTGGGCTCCCTCCAGAAGAGCTGGAAGAGGTGGATGTGGAAAGAGATGGCTGGGCCTCCCTGCTCAAGCTGCTGCCCCCATAACCCAACTTCAGAACAAGCGGAAAATTATGGTTGGATGGATGGCTGGATGGATGTGTGCGTGAGAGTCACCAGCTTTTAGTACCGTAGTTCACTAAACCCGAAAATCCCACGCTGCTTTTTAATATGACACGAAGGGATAGCTGCCATTTGAAAGGTTGGTGGTTTGAGCCACGCTTCCCTAAACAAATTACATTATGTCCTTGGGCAAGACACTGAACCCTTAATTGTCCCCAATACGTGCATAAATGTGTTTGTGTGTGACATGTTGGACAAAGTAACCCACATCACAGAACATGCCTTCTTCTTCAGGCTCTGAGCACAATCATATAGAAGGGAACACTTTTTGTGCATTATCTGACACACCATTCAAAAAAATATCAAGTTGTTTGCATTGTTTAAAAATCATGTCAAGAATTCAACTGGTACAACTAATTTACATCACAGAGATATAGCTATGCTAATAAGTTGATATAAATAAATACATGTCTGATCTGTTTGTCTTGACAGCTACGGGAAGCTCTTAGAGTACTCAAAGGGTTACATTTAGTTTAGAAAAAACACAGAAATCCAGGGCAGCAACAAGTAGCTCTCTTGCCCGGTAGCAAGATGGTCCCTGAATCAAATCCTGGTTGGGTTCTTTCTGAGTGGTACAACAATGACGATATTTGAATGTTTGATTTTATGTGTTTTTTGAAAATCTGATGCTTATTTAACAGAAGACAATGGCTTCCAATTTGTCAGTCATTATTGCTGACTGAATACTTTACCCTGAGAACATTTCCATGCATTTTCAGGTCAATCTTTTTATTTTTACTTATTAAAATAAATACATAAAGGAGTAGCACTTTTTTTTTTTTTAAATACTGTTTTATTTAAAACTCTGAACAGGAAATGCTCCACAGCAGATGATGTATGTTGCCATGGTGATCTAACCTGATTAAAAAAAACAACACATTTTTGTGACGCCTAAAAGCAAGTCATTATTACTGTGTCGTCGTAAGGCTCTCAGGTGATGACAAGCTGATGACTAAGTTTTAAAACAGAGTTGGCTGCTCCAACAAACTAATATCAGTAGATGTGACCGAAGTGAAAAATGTCGAGAGCAACACAAACAAGGTCAGAGGTTTAAACAGCCGAAGACTCGGGGATATAACAAGCAGGTGCATCTGGGGCGAGACAAAAACTTTCACTGCATATGTTGTGTTTCGGCAGCTCTGCTCACTGGGATTTGAAACTGATAATTGTGTGAATGCTTATAAAGCAAAGCAAATTTTTCTTCCATACGTTTTTTGGTGCAATTCTCGTCCCACAGTTTTCAAGCTGTTTCAACAAATCCAATATCAAAACGTTCAGCTAGCTTTTGGTATTGGTGCAACTTTAGCTTTTTGAAATATTTAGCATTTTCTTTAATTGTTTTTCTCAGAAAACGAATTGAGCTCATTTTACATCCTTCAAATATTTAGACCTGTTTACAACCTTGTACTGCTCCTTTGACATTTTGTTCTGATTCAGCTTCATTCAGCTTCCTTGTGCAAATTTCATTTCTTTCAGCTACTTTCAGCAAATTTCAGCTGGTTTTTTAGCTGTTTTGTGCTCCTTTCAGATTATTCCTACTAACCACAACATTTTTGGGCTTCTTCTATCTTCTTTCTGCTAATTTCAGCTTGCTCTGCTCCTTTCAATGTATTTCTGCAAGTTTCAGCTTGTTCTATTATTTCAGCAATTATATAGCTGTTTAATGCTAATTTAAACTTTTTCAGCTAATTCCACAATTTTATTTTGCACTCATTTAAACTTTTTTCAGCCTAATTCAGCACAAATGTGCTTTCTCCACTTCCGTCTTGTAATAATTTAAGCTTCTTTCTGTGTTTTAGCTACTTTTCAGCTGTTTTTGCTCATTTAAGCTTATGTCAGATAATTCCCAATTTTTTTGTGCATTTCTGCTTCTTTCAGCAAACATGTTCTTTCTGCTTTTTTCATCTAATTTAAGCTTGTTCTACATTTTCAGCTACCTTTTTATTGTTTTCAGCTAATTTCAGCTGTTTTCAGAAAATTCAAGTTTTTCTTGGTAATTTCTGCTACTTTCAGCCTAATTAACTTCGTTCTGCTAATCTCTGCTTCTTATGCTCCTTTCAACCTTTTCTGATATTTCAGCTATACTATTTAGCTGTTTTAATGCTAATTTTAGCTTTTTTTTTAGCTAATTCCATATTTTTTCGCTCATTTCAGCTATTTCCTTCTGCTAGTTTAAGCTACTTTTTGCATTTTCAGCTACTTTTCAGCCCTTTTTTCAGCTAATTTTCTATTTTTTGTGTTCATCTCTGCTTATTCCAATCTATTTCAACAAGTATGTGTTCTTTCCATTTTCATCTGCTAATTTAAGCTTGTTCCAACTTTTTAGCTTATTTCAGCATTTTTTTTTCAACAGGTTCTTCTGCGATAAGCATTCACTCTGCATTTTCGCAGAAAATGCAATTTCTCTAGTTATATTTACAAGCAGATCTGTGTAACCACATCTGTAACAGCCTAAGGACAAACACAATGGTAATATTTTATCATTTATGCTCACCATATTACGAGACCTGTAATAACAGCCACCCAGGTGACACAACAGGTATCAGGTCTTTTGGTTTCATCCAGTTTCCTTCTGCAGCAGCACAAACACACCAGGTACACTGCCAGAACCAGCAGGGTCACACCAAGACCCGCAGCACCGGCACATGCAAGAAATATCAGAGACTGAAAGAGAAGAGAGACAAAAAAATTAATAAAATATTATCAGTTTAAGTTATGTTAGGCTGAGTTTTTCCCCCCTCTAAAGAACAATTCAGTACAAATTTAGCAAGTTTATTTACCTTGTGGTGTTTTTTTTTATTTTTAAATTATTAACGGAGCCCACAAACCTTGAGGATGAGCTCCCCAGTCAAAACAACCTGCTTCCATAAAACACAGCTCATGTTTAAAGATGATATTCGGTTTAATGTGGAGCTATTTCATCATTATCAACAACATTATTGCTGATGACAGCTGCTCACAGCGAGAAAAAAGAGCAGAGGGAAGCACGGAGCCTGTTGTGGTTTTATGACCAACAGTTTATAAAGACATTCCTGTCAAGTGCCACAGACTGGACTGTGGCTCACAGGAAGGCAGAAATTATCCAAGGCCGAGTGTAAGGTGGTGGGGGGTGGGCGTCATGTGATACAAAGACTTTCGCTCAGTCTTGTGATTTCTGAGTGTACAAAATATTTAAAGCCTGAAGTATGGACTCAGAAGCACAAGAGGAAAATATTAATAGCATATAGTTTTGGACACCGTGTGCATGAAAAAACATAATTTTTCATATGATTCTGTGATTTTGAACTTGCTGGATGAGTTTAAAAAAGATTGCACTTTGCAAAATTTTGCACTCCGTTTTTACAGCCGACAAGTTCATATATTTATCTTTTTTGAATTTATCAACAATATGAGTATTAAGTTTACACATACTGCTTTGTGTATTTTGATAGGCGTTCATTTTTTACGTTAAAGCTTTATTACTTAGTTTTATTTGCCTTGAACAACTAAGTTTGTTACTATTTAGAAAGAAAAATGAATAGAAATCCAATTTGAAGGGAAAATGGTGCAAAAGAATCGTAAAAGAGGGATGAATAATTATGTTTAAGGAAGCACCAAGCATGACGTTGATGTGTCGGCAGCTGGGCTGACTTTAACTTTACTCTCGTCAAGGTCAGACTTTTAATCTAATCATTTGTTAATTGTGTCGTGGAGCCACCGATGACTCCGGACAAACTCCGTGCAGAGTTCAGGATGGGTTCAAGTCCAAGCAACTGGGTTCAGGCTCCTCACAACAACAACGTTGCTCCACTTGCTCCTCTAATTTTCCACTCAATTGTTTAGTAATTACACATGTTGGCACTTCAGTGCCCACTGTTTGCAATAACAAGGGGACAGATGCATGACTAGGAGGAGGAAAGACACAGAGCAACTTTTACTGTCATTAACCAGAATGTCTGGAGCTTTTGTCTTTGCAACAGGATGGTTACGTTTTCAAATTAAAAAAAAAAAAAATCAGTTGCTTTAAGGATTTCATCTGTAAGTGTTCTTCATTTTCCACTTTCCACAAGCTGAGGATCAGTTATCTGCTGGTTTGGAAGATGTCAGATTCTGAAATGTGCTGCATCTGTGACTAAGCTGGTGTAGCCATGCTGAAAATCAATGAAGGACACTGATATGAAGAAAGAAACACAGCGAGGGTTCAAAACAAAGAGAAGTTTATAAAAGAAAGTTGAAGTTGAGGGAGTCTGTCTATTTTTCCCAAGTTAAGAGTTAAAAAAAAATCCATCTCATATAACATCAGAACTGTTACACATATAGTTTACAACGAATTCTGCCCAAAGTACTTTATGAGGGCGCCATTAATGCCATGTCTGGCACTCACAATAAACCGACTCATTTCAGTTGTAAACTTAGCATTTATGTGTGTAATTTGCACAATAATGTAAACATATAAATAGCAAATGGAAAACTATGGAAACAACTGAGCATAAACTTTATGTTGGCTGCCATAACAGTTACATTTTGTTCATAATGACTCTGCTGCTGCCCACTCAGTCCCATTTCCTGCTTTTACATCATTATAAACTGTAGGGAATTGGTGATTTAGCTGAGATTTTACTTTTCTCCATTTTAAGACGCATCTAAGTGTTTGTTTTAACATTTTACAGCTCGATGGAACATGCGCTGCAAATAAACCATTACAGATATTTGTTTCCAGTGTGGCGTATGCTGTTTGTGGAAATCAGTTTGTTTGGGGTCTCCTTAGATTGAAGAAGTCCTTTGGATGAAGGGCGAAATGTCTCAGTTTAAAAAAAAGAAAGGGTCCAGATAACCTGACTGAACATTGTTGTATTTTTACCTGGATTATTGAGCATGAACTTTGGCATTACAAACCGAGTTTATTTTTTAATATATGGCATCAAACCAAACTCGACAATTTTAATTGTACACATGTCGCTCACTTGTGTATTGAAACTGAAGCCCAGTAAGTGGCAACAATCATACTAGCTTGTCCTACCGAGAATAAAATCTTAAAAATACAGTGAATATGTTTGAGATAAAGAAAGATGTGTACTTTTATTACTGGGATAAATAAAATATAAACACCTGAAATCCATATCCAGGCTGCAGAATTATGAAACATTTAGGATGTTGTTCATGGGACATTTACATTCAAGTCAAAATATTTTATATTTTTATTTTTACTGAATGAATGGTGTACATAGATGGGTACACACTCACCTGGTCCCTCTGAAAGCCAACATGAATAATACAGGTCATGTGGCATCATGTGGAAACTACAGATCAGTATGGACTTCTACTTCCTGATATTTGGACCATAATTCTGAGAGCTACACAGAAAACCAAGTGGGGTAAAAAAGAAAAGGAGTCCTCATTTATTTCTCAACCCAAACTACTTTTATTTGAAGAATATAGACGCTTCTTAAATGTACTGCTTCATATAAAAACTGGCGCTCAACAAACAAATCCGTGCGCTTTTACGCACAGGTGGAGTTACCAACCTGCTGGTAGCTCGCCTCCTCCGGCCTGAAGGTGTTGTCGACCGACTGGAACAGAAAATTGAAGTGTGGAAAGTTGTGTAGCCAGTATGTCCACCACGGAGCGACGTAATCAAGCCTGGCAGAAGCCATTACTGCTGGAAGAGTCAATCCAACAAACACAAGTTGGAGACTTTGACACAGTTTGTTTGTTTTCCCGCAGGAAAAGTAAAAAAAAAAAAAAAAAGGTTTCCACACAGTATCAAAGTGGAGACTCTTCTATGGATGCACCTTTAAAATAAGGATGGAAATCACGGGTTTCTGCTCCGGGCCACATCATGGTTGGGCGCTCGTGAATGTAAACAGATCGTCTGGATACGAACCTGCCTCCCTCACAGCAGAAGGCGTGACGGCTCCAGACAAGAGGGCACAACATCAATCCCCCTCTTTCACTTGTAGAAAACCAATCATCACACAGGATAGTTAAAACCCTCCACAGCCAGGATCAAATAAAATAAAAAATAAAATACAAAGGAATTTAAAAAATATCTAGAAATAGATATAAAACAGCTGCTGCGTTTTATTCCCCTTCATCCTGAGAGTTTAATCAGCACCAATAAATCACAGAAAGGAAGAAGGAGCTCTGCTTCAGCTGGCTCCAACTTTATCTGCTTAGCATTCAGCATGTTCTTATTATTCAGCATTTTTTATGACTTGTGCTGTTAATGTCTGACCTCTTGTGGACACTGAGGTCAGTGCGCTAATGAGAATTTAGTCTCAGCTTTAATTCACTGTGGGGGACAGACTGTATGTATCATTCTTCTTTTAGGAGCTACATCTGTATCCAAACATTCAGTCTGATGGTGAAAGGGGTTTTATTTCAGAATGTGGTTATAAAATCTTTTTTGAGATGACTGTTAATTCGGTAAATACATATGGTAATGCAGTAAAACTTTCCAATTTCTTGTCATTTTAACAACTTCAGGATCAGAGAGCAGGTTTAGCATGACAAAAAAAAAAATCCATTAATGTTAGATATGTGAACCTTTACAGATGCTGGATGGTAGCACTTTGATAAGAATAATAAAAGAAAATAAAGTCGGCGTAGCAGCCAGCATGAGTGGCATTAGTATCCACTGCTTCCATTTCTGTCCTTAGAAAAAAACTGCAGATGAAAAAAATGAGTTCAGGATTTGAGTCTCGAAGTGTTTCTGAACAGGTTGGATCATTATTGAACTGCAAACTGAGCTGGAAGCAACATTTTCACATGTCTTAAATTTCAGTGAGGGTTAAAATCAAGATTTTTATTTATTTTTTTAATGAAAAATTACAGATGTAGCACTCTTTTAATGAATGCATATCACCCGGCAGCTTTTATGCAAGAGTTATAAACAAAGCTCATCAAAACTATCTAAACTAAAACTGATGTGTTTATGCTAATTAAATCATATTGTTCATTTTTATGAAAGATTGGCCAACCAATAAAAAACTCCAACGTGTTAACAGAAAGCAGCCGCTGGCATGTGAAAAATAAAGATAGACAATATGTCAAAGAAATTCAGCTCAGAGGATCAGTTGTTTTATTTAAATGGAACACGGGACGGCTTGCTGTCTGAATCTTGGGAATTCTGTTTTTTAATGATCTGCTGGCGTTGATGCCCCTCCATGGCCAGAATACCTCAAGAGTGTGCGCTTCGAGGCCGAATAGCAGGTGACACTTGAAATTCACTGTATAAATATGAATTTTCTGACTGTGCTCTGCATGTCCGAGCAGCTGAATTTAAGTCTCAGCTGATTCCCATGCCGTTCACTGTGTTTGCACCAAGAGAGGGGATCAATGTCAAATACAGAATGAAATGAAGAAAAGCACTTCTGCCTTTTGCTTCTTTTTGACCAAGTACAGCATATATGTAACCTCGCTGTCCCTGTTGCTGGAGTCTCGTTAAATAAAACACCCAGATTACAGCAAGTAAAAACTCCTTCTGCAGCCAAGAACGTGGCAAGGCGAGAAATGTCGGCAAAATTTCCTCATTTGTTCAGAGTTATTCCAACTTACGCCCAATTAAATTGAACCAAAAATAACGCAGCCTTGTTTTTAAAGGAACGTGTTGCTGTGAACAATATATAAAAACAGCCTGTAAAGAAGTGTGAATAATTTAAACACTGTTAGCTTCAACTAAAACAGAGAAATGTGCATGTTTTAGGAAAAAAAATATCAGCTCGCTTTTAGTTCAGTGACAATAAATGCTTGAATAGAGAAATGGGGAATAAAGTATACTAATCCAAAACTGGAAAAAAAAACAAAAAAAAACTCTGCAGATGAATATAATTAGATTTATAAGGCGATGGTGCCGTCTCATATTTAGGTATCTAAAAGGCTGTTTGAGTGAGGTGGAGTGTTTGAGAAGTAAAATATAAGGTCAGATTTATCATTCAGTTTTGTAGAGTTGTTGTAACTGGATTGACTCCAAACGTTAATCAGTTAAAGATTTACATCTAAGAATGTCTCATTAAAATCTGTTTATTTGTTGAAAGACAAACACTCGAGAATAATGATAAAAGTTTGAGCAAATATTTTATACAATTGATATTACACCAAATTTGAGCTCCAAATATGTAAAATTAACTAAAAAAAATGTTTTTTTGTGTGTGTTTTCCAAAGCCATTCCACTGTGGCAGCTATCTTAAACTGGGTTGAATCCAGTGACGTGCAGTGATGTTTGTGACAGGTGAGGCACTGACTAGTCTGGAATCGGATGCTCACCTACAGTATATGACCACAAAATAGAAGCTTATATTCGATTTAGCCTTTTATTTTTCTTTTAAAAAGGCATCTAATTATGCTTATCAAGTTTAGAACAATCCTTTAGTTTTCAGATTTGAGCTTTTCAAAAAAGTTCAAGACAAAAACAAATGGACTTTATTTGTAACAGAAGAGACGTTTCGCTTCTCATACGAGAAGCTCTCTCAATTCAAAGAACAGTGCGTGTGAGGTTCGAGTTATAAAGCTGAGGTAAAATACATACATACATATGCAGATTGACCTATCACACCTCACAGAAAGGGTTTGTTAAGGTCTTTGTCAGATATGATCTTCCATTTTGTCTAAACAAATTAAAACAAGTGTACCATTATAGATTTTCTACACCCCGCCCCTCTGTGTAACAGAACGCACAGTGACTGCACCTGTTTCATTGTCCCTATGAGGCAACACTGCCCCCTATTGGTGAGGCACAGTACTTTATGCCTCACCTTATGTATTTTCACCATGCATTTATGACCTATTAGAAAAAAAGAAATGTGTCACACAGATTCATTCAATATATTAGACAGACTATAGAACATCAACATGTGCAGCACATGTGTAATCAAACATGTATATTGGCGATATAAAGAGAGACAGCAATGGGCATGCTCCAACCACCTACTTCATATATTGTATATGACACAGCGCCCCTAGAGGTGAAGCACAGTACTACACTGCCTCACCCAACACATTTCTTCCATTTGTTTGAACAGGTAATGTGTAAATTCCTCGATTTTGACCATTGAAGTGTTGAAATAATTCAGAAAACAGTTTTCTAGAACAGTATTGTAGAACAGTCAAGTGGTCAAATGTATTTTCTCTTATCATTGTTAGTATGTTACTTGTCATGATGACAGGTGAGGCACTGCCTCACCTGCCTCCCCTGACTGCACGTCACTCGTTGAATCCAAAAGTTGCAGTTATGGAGTATAGTTTTTATTATTTTCTAAATAATTTTACACATGTTTAGTTGTTCATGAGATATTCAGCCAACAGTCAGGCAGAGCTGACTCCAATAACTAATGGTAAAACTTTAAACAAAAGTCATGTTCAGTCTACGTACGCGAGATTCCGTTGTACTATAATATTCTACATTTTATTTTATTTAAATGTTTGAAAACGTTAAAAAAATGGGACTTGTTTGGGATGTTGCTACATGGAGTTTGGTTCATTTTGAACATTTACTGTAAAACAGTTAAATGAGACTATAAAGCACATGTTGGGTCGAAGAAAAAAAATGTTAATAGCAAAAATGGTCACGTAGCAGATCTAAAATGAGAGAAGCTGCACCATTAGGTGGCAGCCCAACACTTTTCAGCAGGTCTGTGAACCTCGTGTTTCTGTTCTCCATGAAGAAAGCCATCATTAGACGGAGATCCTCTCTACATGATGTTGGCAATAGACTTCTAATAATAGCCCAGCAGAGATTCCACTTTAATGAACTGCAGTTTATAGATCACATCCATTGCTTTCTTGGGTCTTTCATCAGAATCTCATGGGACCAGCAATTTGGGGCATGATGTTAAAGGAGAAACATATCAAAGGGCACTTTGAAGTCACGTAACTGCACCATAAGGGCAGAAACCTAAAGGGATAAAGTTGCACAGTGAAAGACAACTCTCAAGGTCAATGGTAGTGGAATAACAACATTGTATTGTTGCTGAATTTTAACCAGATACTCCTGCGGCTTATGGTCCAACCTTGATTTCAATGGGGTATCACATTTCATCCAACGACCACCTCGAGAAAGACGGCAAACCCAAGACTTGTGTAAAATAAAACAAAAAAAGCCTTGTTAGAATACACTCTACTTCTTTTTAGGGAGCTTGCACTGTAAAACAGTTGAAACAGCCAGACATGAATTAAATGCACGTGGCTCACAAATGCTACATCCAAACGTGATCAAAAAAGGAGAAAAACGTCTTCCTTTCAGTTCGTTGTTGCTCATTCCTCATCATGTGCTCAAGTGTCCTCAGTAAATGCTTGATTTACCTCCTGATTGACCGCCTCCACAACAATCACAGGGATGATTGGTTCATTTAAAAAAGTGTTTCGAAGAGCCCCATCGTCAACTTCCAACACTACCGAGATCCTTCCAAGTTGTAGCAGTTACAGCTCAGTGAAATGTGCAAAATGTGTTGTATTGGACTTTTCCTCCCTCGTGGTTATTGCGTTTTTTTGGGGGCGGTTGGGGAATCCACGACGCAAATCCTCCTGCTCTATTTTGAGTGATTTATACATGAATGAAGATTTATGCCTGAGAGCTCAGCGTACCGGTATTATCCAATCAAACTGGGCTGCTCAGAGGCTCCTGAGATTGCATTAAAGTGTAATATCAATGCAGCAG